CTGTAAAGATCGGTTCCTTGAATAACTACAAGAAAAAATCTATAGTTCTATACTGCCAGAATACATGATACTGGAAGAGAAATTAAAATCCATGAATTAACCACAAGGCCATAAAAACTTGACCCGACAACCCTCCTGGATTGATCAACTCCTTAGTCCATTCCAAGTTTCAGGTTAGCAATCGGATCTCAATATTACCCGACAACCTGGTTTGCCTATCATCAGTCGTTTTGAAATTGGAAGGCAAATCAAGGACTCGTTTGTTTGTTTGTTGTTCACTAAAAATGAGGGAAAAAAAAAGGGAAGATACACCGACAGTTTTGGGTGTCGTCGGCAGGGATGAGGACTTAGGAGTGTTGGGTCTAGGGATTCGTCGGGAAAAGATAATGAGCTTTTTAAGTTAAGTTCATGAGATGGGAGGCTGGGAGCTGGGTTGATTATTTATTTATTAAAGTCAGGTCATGGCTCGTGAAGAGAGCTTTGAAAAGTAGAGGAATTTGTTTGAACGTTGAAATTTGGGACTGATGACTGCTCCTTCGATTTCTTCGTAATCACTATCAATGGATTAGATCAAGGTTTTCGAAGAACCCATGATAGGGAAGGAAATTAAAGCAAGCAAGGATCATCAGAAAGGACATATTATAATTTTAGCTTCTAGGCTCTTAGGGTCTTTTTGTTTCCTCTTAATTCTTATCTCTTAAGAGAATCAATTAACTTTAAGAGAAAAATGGTTGTTCGCTTCTTCTTATCTCTTATTTCTTAAAATGTAATTATACAACTTTTTATTTTTTAATAATACGTCAAAAAAGACAAATAAAAACTCTCTGGATCAAAATAGATCTTTGATAATTTTCAGAATTCAAAATTCAGAATTAAGAATGAAAGAAAAATTCACCAATATTAATATACCTCTTAATATAATTATTGCACTTTTATATGTATCTTTCAGTATATCATTGTACATACATAAGTTGCAATAGAGAAGTTTTATTTGAAAAATAAATCTTTATTAAGTATTATATCTTTTCATACTATATACAAAATTTATGAGTGAGTTTTGATTGGTCAAAACTCTTTTCATACTATATCTATTAAGTAACAGTAATATAAACATCTTCAGAATGATGTAGGAGGCCAAGACAAGCTAAAAAAATAAACACTACTTGGGCTGGATTTTAGTTTTTACTTTTCAGTATAAAGAAAAGAAAAGGTACAAACTCCACCGTCATGGGGTGGGAGAAATAGGTGGCTCTAAAGTCCAAGGCTTGTCGGTTTGTGTGTATTTAATCTTGACCATCCGACTTAATTTCCATATTTTCACGTTTGTAGGTTGCAGTACGATCATCACCACCACGTGGGCGTACTTCGTCGTCAACCTCATCCCCTAGTTCAAATGTATTATGGCACTTCTTTGATTATAAGGAAGTAAGGACTAACGAGGAGCTGGAGGAGGAGACATTTTAAGCAGACCTATTCACATACACGGCGAGAGAAATAAATATAAGAAAAAGAAACTTATTAGTTTAAATAATCAATCAAACCTGATAAATAAATGGAATTGAATGATGGTACGTCGGCATGGATTGGATGCATGGATATATTGTGGATTTAATATGATAGCCCTATATAACCAATGTGATATCGATAGCTTCACTGATCTATACAGCCTAAAGGGGTGTCTCCATGACCCATGCATCCACCCACATTAGATGATGAGCGTCTGCAGATACAGTCTGTACTGATATCAGATAACGATATTTTTCAACAAGCAGGTTTAAAAAACTGGACCGGTAATGAAACTGTTTTGGTCACCGCATTCTGGGTCAAATAGATTTTTCGTTCTAATTTAAAAAATTATAATAATTAAAATAAAAAATGACAAAAAAACCATTGTCTTCAAATGTTCAGGTAAATGTTGTTGATCAAATTAATGATTTTTGGTCCAAGATCGGTTTCTAGGTCAACCGAGCCAGACTGGTTTTCAAAACCATGCTTTTCGATGTTTATATTGAGATATTATGATTAAACCCTTCTAATTCCTTTTTAGCTTCCTTAAATTATCCTTTCTTTTTTATTATTCACTTGGAAACAGAAAATGCGTAATTTTCAAAGAATATCAATTATCATTTTATAATATAGAGGTCGACGCCATAATTTGTCCCCACATAGTTTGAATTCATCCAAATCCAACTTGTCTTTAGCTTGCATTTGTTTTCCAAATGATGACGACCAAAGTTTTGCTTGAGGGGGCACGCGGTTCTAACTCATGCCTCTAAGTTGTATTCAATTGCGTAAGGTTAATTATTTAATTACATAAAAAAAATAAAGATAAATTAGATGGGAGTAGGAACCGCAACCAATAGGCAATAGCTAGCGTTTTCAAAAGAAGATTGATGGATGAAGAATATATAGAAGCCAGATTTAATTGAATCACGTTTTAATCATGACTCAACTCGTGAACACAAGCTCCAACTTTTTCTGTAATCTGTGGATGAATTCTTCCCCTCCTTTTGAACCATTGCACTCTCTTTTCTCTGGATGACCATCCTGTTAATTACTACCTTTTGCCTTAATTTCTCCGTGGGGCGCCATTAGTTTCAAGTTTCAACCTTCCTAGATTTTATTTTTATGGTTGGTACGTAGCTGGCTTGGCTAACATGTATCGACAGCTATATATGCTAACATCTTTTCCTACTCTACTTACCACATGGAGAAGGATAATATATAAGATGACCGCCCGATTTCGCAGAGTCAAAGATGGGCTGAGAAGGGTTTGGGCCCACCTCAACGAAAGTGAACATAACAGAGCTTGAGCTCGACAAGTTTTCGTGATTGAAAAGATGTTGGCCCACGTAAAAGAAAAGCAGCTGAAGGCCTGAAGTCTGAAGCCTGAAGAGACGAATAGTAAAGACTAAAGTAGTAGTAGTAGTAGTGTGTTGCAACCGACTGAATTAAAAAGGAGTCTTAACTCGTTTCCTCCATGTTAGTTGGGGGTACCCACGAATGAATTCTCTCAAATCATCCAAAATTTTACTTTTTCTTTTTGTGATTGATGGAGAACTCGTGAAAGCAAGAAAGGAGCAGAGAGTCAAGCCGAAGAAAATGAGAAAGAGAGTTGTAAGTGAGAAGAAGAAGAAAAGAAAAACTCAGAAAAAGGTAGATAGATCTAAACGTGAAGTTGAGAAGGAACGTGACCGATGAAACTAAATAAAGAAAAGAAGAGAACTGGCGCAGCACATGACTTATTAACAACCCAATGGAAATATGGAATGGGCATGGGGGGGTTGTTGTACGCATTTCTCCAGTCTCTTCTTTCTCCTCTTTATTGGTTTGACTTTTTACGTTCCAATAATGCGGCCGTTTTTCTATTTTCTATTTTCTATTTTTATGTGAGGCGTGCATGGTTTTTATTATTTATTAATTACCCACATATACATAACTAACTAATATTATTATGATTTAATTTAATTAAAAAAAAAGTTACCTGATATTGTGAGGAGTGAGGGAGTGGGGACCACTGTCCACTTTTCTATTAAAGTTGCTTACGCGTTTCAAACACCGGTCATCCTGGGTAAATGAAATCAACGCCCTACCTTCCCATGCTCGAACGTCGTGTGTCCATACCATCACCGCTCATCTCGTCTACTTCCCCACGTCATCATGGTTTTAATCTATTTCTAGTTTTCTACACTATACAATTATATCGAATAATTAAATAATAAATTTTATTGTCCCTTCAAATATTTTTGGGAAAAGTACGAATACACACGATGCAGAATTCTGAATCCATCCACCCCTACGACTAATCCTCTCCCCCTTATAAGCTACATCCTGCCCGTGAATTTGACATCAATTCACGGTCAGGATGCATTCCCCCTTGTACTTTGTGGCTTGTAAATTCTGAACTGGGCTGATCGATACTTCTCCCAATATTTTTCTATTTTTTTTCAGGTTTTCACGTTGAAAAGTGTGTATCAAGTGCGTCACTCACCCATACACATACTGTCTTTGGCTCTTTGCACCCAAAAATCAATCTCAACTGCACATTTGATTTGATGTCCAACAAACACGTGCCTGATGCTTCCTTATATTTTTGCCAGCCGGACACACCCTCAATAGCCTCTAGTCTACTGTGGAGCTGAAGTAATGATTTGTGATTCATCAGTCATACGGTCAGAGTCTTGGGTCCATCTAACTTTTGTATTTTTCTCCGGTTAGATAATAAGTTTATATGGTACGAGAGGATGCATCTTATCGTTAATTTTTCATCTTCTAACAAAAAAAAATAAAACTATTGTTAATACAAAAGAATTTGTTTAAAAATTTCCAGGCCGGCCAACTAATAGAGGGAACAGGATCTGCTCCTCACACTTGGGCGCTTCACATGCACATCCACCGAGCATTGTGAACATCTCCAGTGAAAAATAATTTATAAATACGGAAGATGTTCCCAATGGATGGTAGGATGTGCGTGCGAGGCGCGTGTGAAGCGCCCTATGTGAGGAGCAGATCCGGTTTCGTAATAGAGAGAACATAGAAAATGCGATAATGAATAGTTCCAAAAGTTTAAGCAAGGGACTCGGTCCCACCGGTACGAGCCGAAAGAGTCAACTTCCTATCCGGTCGATCTGAAACGTGGCTTCCTACGTGGCGTCAGTCAAAAGGCCGTGGGCCCAACCCAGTCGTCACAGAGCCTGGCCGTCAAATTCGTTGACTTGGCTCCCCTCACTTCTCTGCCCTTCCTCACGTGGAACGCGCCGGGCCAATCGGGGCGGTGGATTTGTGGAACCAGTCAAACCAAGATTTGACGAAATGTAGACGAAACCATCTCTCTCTCTCTCTCTCGATCTCGATCTCGATCCAACACCTCCCGCTTCTTCTCTTCTTTCGTGGTCCCCACTGCCAGCTGTCCGATCTGACGCACCACCTGGCGTCACCTCTCAAATTCCACTCCATTTTCTCTCCCCCTTCTCAAAATCTACTACCACTTTGGTCTTCGTCCGAACCCTTTTTATTGCCGAGCCCATTGCACCGGTAAAAGACTTCAGACTTCATCTCATCTTCTCTCTCTCTCTCTCTCTCTCTCTCTCTCTCTCTCTCTCTCTCTCTTATTCCTTAATTGATTTATGGACAAAGGAGGTGGACTCACTATTGATTCTTCTGAAATTGGATTCTTCGTGACTAAGCCCACTGCAATCAAGTCGTCGTTCCTAACATCCAATCATCCAAAGTGGAAGCACGATCTCATGGATTTTCCGGTTAACCTTAACTGCAGAGACGAGACTGCTTCTCCAGTGCCGTCGGACGAGAAGCGAATCGATGAAATGGATTTCTTTTCGGATAAGAATCGATTGAAGGATTTTGATGCCAAAGCATCGACTATCGATATCAAGAAGGAGGATTCGCATGGAGGAGTGGCTCCAAGACTCAATTTAGATGTAAATGTAAGCAGCCCGAGCTAATTAAAATTATGTAAACTGTGTTGCATAAATTATTTTTATTCTATCAAGCCTCCTATATAAACTGAATTATCACTATTACTACTCTTAACAGTTTAATTTGATCTTGTTTTACTTATTTGTAGACTGGTTTACACCTTCTCACTGCAAACAACGGCAGCGATCAATCAACGGTGGACGACGGAGTATCACCAAACTCCGGCGACAAGAAAGCCAAGAGTGAGGTAAGAAGGAGGATATGTTGTGGAATTCAATCTTGAAACTTTTATTGTCTAGTTCATAATCTCATGCCTAATAATTGATAATATTCTAACTTGAAAGATTACCAACTTATAGAATATCGCATGTTTCAGTTGGCCGCTCTTCAATCCGAGCTTGACCGGATGAACGAAGAGAACCAACGCTTGAAAGCGATGCTTAGTCAGGTTAGCAACAACTACAACGCACTACAGATGCATCTTGTAACATTGATGCAGCAACAGAATCGCAAGGCCGAAAACACCCAAGAACACGAGGTACGTATTTAATCGATCTTGTGTTTTCACTTATTAGTTTAGACTTTAGATTCCATTTCAAAATTTCAGTTATGGTACGAATCAGTAATTAACTTGGTCTCTTAATGGGCGTGTATAGATTTCAGATGGGAAGCTGGAAGGCAAGAAACAGGATGCCGGTGGAGGACCCATGGTGCCGAGACAATTCATGGATTTAGGCCCGGCTGCGACAGCTGATACTGATGAGCCTTCTCAGTCATCGTCTGAGGGTCGAAGCCGTGATCGCTCTGGATCTCCTCATAATAATGCAGTAGAAGTGGTGTCAAAGGAATATAGGCAGCAGAAGAATAACAGCAGCAACGAGATTGTTCCATTTGATCAGGACAAGGGCGATTTTGGAGAGGGTAGAGGGATTGGAAGGGAAGAGAGCCCGAACCAAGGCTGGGCTGCTAACAAGATCCCCAAATTGAACCCCTCCAAGAATGCTGACCAGTCCACGGAAGCCACCATGAGGAAAGCTCGCGTCTCAGTTCGAGCACGATCGGAGGCTCCCATGGTAATTAACAAACCAGTTATTAACTCGACTGATTTTTTTTTTTCTTTCGAAAAAACAAGAGAAAAACCCATTAAAATTACCGAAGTTAGAATTTAATTAATCCAATTAAACTTGATGGGTTTCAGATCACCGATGGATGTCAATGGCGAAAGTATGGGCAAAAGATGGCAAAAGGGAATCCTTGCCCTCGAGCTTATTACCGTTGTACCATGGCTGCTGGTTGTCCTGTTCGAAAGCAAGTATGTTCACTTCTATATTTCGATGGTTTCCTTTCCTGGCTTACAATTATTAATAACAATATCCAGCATGTGATATTAATCCGAATTATGGTGCCTACAGGTTCAAAGATGTGCAGAAGATCGATCTATCCTCATAACGACTTATGAGGGAAACCATAACCATCCACTCCCTCCGGCAGCCATGGCGATGGCATCAACCACCTCAGCGGCAGCTTGTATGCTACTCTCCGGTTCAATGTCCAGTGCCGATGGGTTAATAAACTCAAACTTCCTGACAAGGACTCTTCTTCCTTGCTCATCAAGTATGGCAACAATCTCGGCTTCAGCCCCGTTTCCGACTGTCACATTGGACCTTACTCACAATCCCAACCCTTTGCAGTTCCAAAGGCCACCCACCCAATTCCATGTTCCATTCCCCAACCAACCCCAGACCTTCCCCTCCCAACCAGCTCCCCCACTGGCTCAAGTTTTCGGCCAAACTCTCTACAATCAATCAAAATTCTCTGGACTTCAGATCTCTCAGGATGTAGAACCTGCTCAATTCGTCAACCAACCGCCCCCGCCACAACTGCATCAGGCACAGCAGACTTCATTCGCTGATACCGTTAGTGCTGCAACAGCCGCTATTACCGCTGATCCAAACTTCACCGCAGCTCTTGCTGCTGCCATTACCTCTATTATCGGCGGTGGAGTTCGTCCGACCAACAACAGCAACGGCAATGACAACAGTAACAACAACAACGCAGCAAACAATAGCAGTGGCAACACCACCACAAGCAACAACAACAGCAATAACAACAAACTCAGCAGTTCGAATTTTGCAGGGAATTAGATAGAAACACAGTTCTTCTTCATTTGTTATTTTTTTTTACAGGTTTTTTTCCTTGTTTAGTGGTGGGAAAAAAGAAAAAGGACGAGATTACTATATATACAGATTTTTTTTTTCTGGTCGGAGGGAAAGAGTAGATTAGAATTTCATTCTTTCTTATATTTTGTTTAAAGTTAAATAATTGGATCCAAAATATCTGTGAATATTGCATATTTTTTACTTGTGTTCATGCATATATAGTAGTTAGTTTTTACTTTGGAAGAAAGCGGTTTTCTTTGTTTCTTGTTTTGTTGAATTTGTCTGCAATTAAACCCCAAGAAAAGAAAGAAGGAAGAAAGGATAAAGGATAAAGGATAAAGGAAAGAGAGAGAGCTGGCAGCCGTAGCCAGTCAAGAAAACCGTCTTTCAAGTAAGCTAGAAAGAATTAGGGCGAATAAATGTTTGACACGGAAAGGGTGTAAGGATGAGGTCAAAGACCGGCTACGTTGGTAAACATCTAGAGCAAGGACACGGCAAAGAGATTACAGTCTGATTTCTTTTGTGTTGTTAATTTTATGGCGCTTTCATTCGTTTGTACTTTGTAGTAGTTGATGGTCCCAATTAATTTGCGATTTGCGATTTCGAGGAAACTACTACAGCAACGACGACTGTATCCCAATTGAATGTGAGCAAAATTGAATCGATCGACTGAGATTCGTTTATTGGCTTCCGTGCAACTAATCGACGTCACGCCCATGAAAGACATTTCAGGGGGAAGATGACAGGTAGGTTTAACTGTGTATCTCGTCTGCCGTACAATGACTTCTCTCTGCCTCTCTGGTAGGGTGGAAGCTCTTGATCATTTGATCAGTAGCAAGTAGTGAGAGAGACGAAAAGATTTGTATGGTTTCATTAGATTTTCTTTCGAGTTCTTTTTATCGATTATGATAAGAAAAAAGATATGAAACGTGGTGGCGAATAAGGTGTTATTTGTGAAAATTCATGGGCGGGTTTTGACCGGTGAAAACTCTTTTTCCGTATTATAGATTTTTTCGTTTAAATTAAAAGCTTTTTCGAAATTAAAGTTTTTAAAAAAAGTCAAAAACAGGAATTAAAACTTTCTTCCCATCTTTGGCTTTTTAAGCTTCCATCCTATAATCGATATTTTAAAAGAAACGTAAAAATGGATTTATATTTTCGATTGTGGGGTGATCAATAGTTCAATTATTTATGTCAAATGGGTCAATTTATGATATAATGAATTAAATAATAAAAATAAAATAGATAAATTTGCAAAAAAAAGAAATACAAAAATTTATAATTATAAAAAGTATGCATGAATTAATATTAAATATCTATCATATTAAACAAAAATTAATATGATAAATGAGAATTATTATTATTATTATTATTATTATTATTATTATTATTATTATTATTATTATTATTATTATTATTATTATTATTATTATTATTATTATTATNTTATTATTATTATTATTATTATTATTATTATTATTATTATTATTATTATTATTATTATTATTATTATTATTATTATTATTATTATTATATTGATGGAAATGAGTAGAAATATACAAGATAAAATTGAAAACGAGAATCAATGTCTGACTATTGACCCACTGATCGGGTCAAATGGTTCAGTGGTTCAAGCACACATAGTAAAAATATTGCTATAACTAACCCATAAATCTTTCTTGTTTGAATTGGTCACACAAAATGTTAGGTTCGAACCAGATATAAACCAATTTTTTGTCATTGGGTCATAGATCAAGCGATACAACCATCTAATTGAATTGTCTAACTCGCTGATGTACACATGTATCTAAGGTAGGTTTTATCATGTCAACGTTCTTAAGAACCAAACAACCTAAAAATCATTTTGGTTAGTACTGACTCCATTTTTATGATATGATCATCTGGTCTGGTCCATGTTCAATAACATTGAAGAACACTTATTAGTATTTCACCATTGTTGTAAAGTGAAAAGAAAGTATTTGGAGAGAATGTTAGTATGTTACCAAATGAGCTTTCAAAGTTTTATCTTCATCTTCAAGCCCAAAAGATGTTTTGAATTTTTACGCCAACTCAGTTATCTTGATGTCTTGTATAGAAATTTGATACTTTCAATTGTCGTTGCTCATGAGTCATGACTTTGGCTAAACTACTGAGTTTAGTTTGAAATTTGAAACACAATATAATAAAATGGATGCATGTTATCGGTACTATGGATCATTGACTTAAATATGCTGTATAAAACTGCACTTGGCCAAGAATCAAGTTAGAATCTTTATCTTCATCTTTTTGATAATTAAAAAGTATTGTAGCCTTTCAAGTTTGTTAAACTTGATATATTCAAAGCCAATCTGGACCACTTAATCACAAGTCCATAATTTATTAGTTTGATTCTGACCCTAGAATCTCAGATTATTTTGACCAAAATGTTATAAAATTAATTTTCTGGCTAATGGATCTTGTATATAACCACCATATTAATCACCAAACAGTTGGCTTCTTTCATGTAGTCATCCAGGAAACTCATGCCGGTGAATTGATGATCTTTAATTTCTTGGTAGGTACAAGTTAGGAATGAAGATGCTGGTCCAACCTTTCTTACATGGTTTTCACTTTTAACATGATCTAGAGGCTAATGGGCCAGGCTCGAGGCTCGAGCCTACTTGTCTTTCAAAATTCTTGGCCTAGGTTGAGCCCAAATAATTGTTTTAGCCCAAGATACTTCAGGTCCTTTGCAAATGCAAAAAGGAACACGAGGAGACAGAGACCTTACACTTTCTTCGGTAGGCAAGCAAGAAGTCAAGAACACAAGGCAATATATGACTCCTACCACATTACCACGTAGGAGGATCTGTCCTATCATTCTAGGGTCCGTTTGGTTTATAGTTAGAGTTGGAATCGGAATCGGAATCAAAATCCTCCAGAATTGGAATCGGAATGGTCTATTCCCATAGTCTGTTTAGTCCAGACAGGAATGGGAAGGAGAATTAAAATCAGCAGGAATGGGATTTCATTCCCAAGGGAAGTGAAGGGAATGGCTATTCCCTCAAATAGGAGAATGCCATTCCAGCAGGAATGGGAATGAGATTCCAATTCCGCCCAACCAAACAGTTGGAATCAGAAATTCCGATTCCAGACCCCTCTTCCTGCGAACCAAACAGGGACTAATTTCTACATTCCTAAGCCCTTAAACCCTGAACCCGAACCCTAAAATTTAAGAGAGAAACAAAAAGTTGAGGAAAAGTTGCCTCTTTTCTTAGGGATTGATCGAGTAATATTCTTGAGAATAAATATATCCTCTCCTTTATTTCGTGTTTAATTCTCTCCTTGTGGTAGAATCTAATTAAGAACTAAAGTAATGTTAGAAAGCATTAGCAGGCTGTAGAATAATCAAAGTCTGGAGTTCCCAACGTGACGTTGAGGAAGATTCCTCTCTGTAGTTGTAGCGTAGACGAATCTGTTATCCCAACTTTAAACAGCTCAGATTCGAAGCTTCCAAATACGTATTCCGTAGTTTATACAACCACCCTAACGTACTACTACAACAATTATCTTCCTTATTCCCCTTTTTATACAAATTCTGGTTCATTTTTGCTTCAGGTTTTATTCTACTTTGTTTTAAGCTTTACCAGAATTCTCTATCAACTTAGACTTACGTTCTAATTTTGCACCACTGCAAATGAAATTGCATTGCAAACTAATTAAGCATTTATATAATCAATTTATAGGACAAGAATAGCAATGTTTCTACATCAGCTTTGTCTATTTTGTTTTAACAGAGAGTTAAAGTTTTAGCTAACCAATGAAACACGGTGGCAGAATTGCATTCGTGACACAAATTTCAGGTCTTCTTGTCCATGAGGAGTCAATGGTCTAGCTACTAGTGAGCTAAACCAATGAGGGTAAGATTGGCCTGTCAGCTCTAATATCTAAATCTGTTGCCTTCCTCTCTCCTCTGGCGAGAAGAGGCTCGGGAACGTCCTCGAGCTATAGTGAAATATTCACCGCTCCAGAGGTTAATTCAAGAAACCATGGTTTTTAAAAATGAATCGGTCAGGGGTCCGATTATCGGTTTGAACAGTTTGATCGTTCAACCCGAATGGCCATTCCGTTCTAATAAAAAAATTAGAAAACGATCAAAATAGTTCAAACGATTAATCAGCCGGTTTAGCGGTTTATTAACCAAAATCAACGGTTTTGAAAGAAAACAGAACCGATTCCCGATTTTTCCGATCCGACCGTCCAGTCCGGTCCGGTTTTGAAAACAGTGCAAGAAACACTCAAATTATTTCATTCATATCCTTATGATGAAGAGGTCCATTACATTTATAGGCGAGCTGGTTGTAACCAATCTGCCACGTGGCTCGAATATTCCCTCATTCACACTTTCTACATTGGTTCTAACAAAATGAGAAATACTGAAGGAGCTGGCGGTTATGACGTGCGAGACCCGTCGTGCATGTCTTGCATGGATCATTCGCTGGGTTCTACGTCAAGCATGGGCTACATGGGCTGCATGTGGTTATCCTCCGTTTCTGGATGTTCGATGAAGATGGGCTAGGCCGTGGGCTCCTTGGGTATCTGTATCACTCCCTCCCCCTTATCAAAAGCCTTGTCCGCAAGGCGTGCTCAGCAGTTCCCAATCCTCCCAGGTGGCATCCGATGTAGTAGTCCCCTCCCATTGTATTAACATTTCTACTCCGGCATGGTTTCCCTTTTTGATCATTCTTCGGTCCAGTATAGCCACAGGTTGAGGTACTAAAGTACCATTGGAGTTGAGAGGGGGTAGTGTCTGTAGGGACTAGCAGTGGACTCCTATCATCTTTTTGAGCCAGGAGACATGGAAGGTGGGGTGGAGTTTGCATTCTGGGGGTAGTTCTAACCTGTAGGCCACCTGTCCTATCCTTTCAATCACTTTGTATGGCCCGTATAAGTGGGTGGCTAACTTCTAAGATTTCCTCAAAGCCAGGCTACTCTGTCGGTATGGTTGAAGTCTCAGATACACATAGTCCTCCACTTTGAACTCTCTTTCACTTCTGTTCTTATCAGCCATTACCTTCATCCGATTCTTTGCATGTTTGAGATTTTCTTTGAGTTCGGTCAGCACCTTATCTCTCTCCATGAGTACCTCTTCCACTGCTTGAGTTTTTGCAGTGCCTAGAACATATGTCAAGGGATTCGGAGGGGGCATTCCATATACTGCCTGGAAAGAGCTAAA